CCCCACTCACCCTCACCCACTCACCACCCCACTCACCTCACCCACTCACCACCCCACTCACCCTCACCCCACTCACCACCCCACTCACCACCCCACTCACCTCACCCACTCACCACCCCCTCACCCCACTCACCACCCCACTCACCACCCCCCTCACCACCCCACTCACCTTACCCCACTCACCTCACCCCACTCACCACCCCACTCACCTCACCCCCCTCACCACCCACTCACCTCACCCCACTCACCACCCCACTCACCACCCCACTCACCACCCCTTCACCCCACTCACCACCCCACTCACCCTCACCCCACTCACCACCCCACTCACCACCCCACTCACCCACTCACCACCCCCTCACCCCACTCACCCTCACCCCACTCACCCACCCCACTCACCACCCCACTCACCTCACCCACTCACCACCCCCTCACCCCACTCACCCTCACCCCACTCACCACCCCACTCACCACCCCACTCACCTCACCCACTCACCACCCCCCTCACCCCACTCACCACCCCACTCACCCTCACCCCACTCACCACCCCACTCACCTCACCCACTCACCACCCCACTCACCCTCACCCCACTCACCACCCCCACTCACCACCCCACTCACCTCACCCACTCACCACCCCCTCACCCCACTCACCACCCCACTCACCACCCCACTCACCACCCCACTCACCTCCCCACTCACCACCCCCCTCACCCCACTTCACCACCCCACTCACCCTCACCCCACTCACCACCCCACTCACCACCCCCACTCACCTCACCCACTCACCACCCCCCTCACCCCACTCACCACCCCACTCACCCTCACCCCACTCACCACCCCACTCACCTCACCCACTCACCACCCCCTCACCCCACTCACCACCCCACTCACCCTCACCCCACTCACCACCCCACTCACCACCCCACTCACCACCCCACTCACCTCACCCACTCACCACCCCCTCACCCCACTCACCCTCACCCCACTCACCACCCCCTCACCCCACTCACCACCCCACTCACCCTCACCTCACCGTCACCACCCCACTCACCACCCACTCACCTCACCCACTCACCACCCCCTCACCCCACTCACCACCCCACTCACCATCACCCCACTCACCACCCCACTCACCACCCCACTCACCTCACCCACTCACCACCCCCTCACCCCACTCACCACCCCACTCACCCTCACCCCACTCACCCTCACCCCACTCACCACCCCACTCACCTCACCCACTCACCACCCCCTCACCCCACTCACCACCCCACTCACCCTCACCCCACTCACCACCCCACTCACCACCCCACTCACCTCACCCACTCACCACCCCCTCACCCCACTCACCACCCCACTCACCCTCACCCCACTCACCACCCCACTCACCACCCCCCTCACCCCACTCACCACCCCACTCACCCTCACCTCACCCTCACCACCCACTCACCACCCCACTCACCTCACCCACTCACCACCCCCCTCACCCCACTCACCACCGCACTCACCCTCACCCCACTCACCACACCACCACTCACCACCCCACTCACCCCCACTCCCTCACCCACTCACCTCACCCACTCACCACCCCCTCACCACCCACTCACCCACTCACCTCACCCCACTCACCCTCACCTCACCCTCACCACCCCACTCACCACCCCACTCACCACCCCACTCACCTCACCCACTCACCACCCCCTCACCCCACTCACCACCCCCACTCACCCTCACCCCACCTCACCACCCCACTCACCACCCCACTCACCTCACCCACTCACCTCACCCACTCACCACCCCCTCACCACCCACTCACCCACTCACCACCCCCTCACCACCCACTCACCCACTCACCTCACCCCACTCACCACCCCATTCACCCTCACCTCACCCTCACCACCCCACTCACCTCACCCCCTCACCTCACCCCACTCACCTCACCCCACTCACCTCACCCCACTCACCACCCCACTCACCACCCCACTCACCACCCCACTCACCTCACCCACTCACCTCACCCACTCACCACCCCCTCACCACCCACTCACCCACTCACCTCACCCACTCACCACCCCCCTCACCACCCACTCACCTCACCCACTCACCACCCCCTCACCACCCACTCACCCACTCACCTCACCCCACTCACCACCCCACTCACCTCACCCCACTCACCTCACCCCACTCACCTCACCCCACTCACCTCACCCCACTCACCACCCCACTCACCACCCCACTCACCACCCCACTCACCTCACCCACTCACCACCCCCTCACCACCCACTCACCCACTCACCACCCCCTCACCACCCACTCAACCCACTCACCTCACCCCACTCACCACTCTCTCTCCTCACCCCACTCACCACCCCCACTCACCTCACCCCACTCACCTCACCCCACTCACCTCACCCCACTCACCACCACTCACACCCCACTCACCACCCCACTCACCTCACCCCACTCACCACCCCACTCACCTCAACCCCCACTCACCACCACACCCCACTCACCTCACCCCACGCACCACCACTCACCACCCCACTCACCCACCCCTTCACCCCACTCACCACCCCACTCACCCTCACCCCACTCACCACCCCACTCACCACCCCACTCACCCACTCACCACCCCCTCACCCCACTCACCCCACTCACCACCCCACTCACCACCCCACTCACCACCCCACTCACCTCACCCACTCACACACCCCCTCACCCACTCACCCTCACCCCACTCACCACCCCCACTCACCCTCACCCCACTCACCACCCCACTCACCACCCCACTCACCTCACCCACTCACCACCCCCTCACCCCACTCACCACCCCACTCACCACCCCACTCACCACCCCACTCACCTCACCCACTCACCACCCCCTCACCCCACTCACCACCCCACTCACCCTCACCCCACTCACCACCCCACTCACCACACCCCACTCACCTCACCCACTCACCACCCCCTCACCCACTCACCACCCCACTCACCCTCACCCCACTCACCACCCCACTCACCTCACCCACTCACCACCCCCTCACCCCACTCACCACCCCACTCACCCTCACCCCACTCACCACCCCACTCACCACCCCACTCACCACCCCACTCACCTCACCCACTCACCACCCCCTCACCCCACTCACCCTCACCCCACTCACCACCCCCTCACCCCACTCACCACCCCACTCACCCTCACCTCACCGTCACCACCCCACTCACCACCCCACTCACCTCACCCACTCACCACCCCCTCACCCCACTCACCACCCCACTCACCATCACCCCACTCACCACCCCACTCACCACCCACTCACCTCACCCACTCCACCACCCCCTCACCCCACTCACCACCCCACTCACCCTCACCCCACTCACCCTCACCCCACTCACCACCCCCACTCACCTCACCCACTCACCACCCCCCTCACCCCACTCACCACCCCACTCACCCTCACCCCACTCACCACCCCACTCACCACCCCACTCACCTCACCCACTCACCACCCCCTCACCCCACTCACCACCCCACTCACCCTCACCCCACTCACCACCCCACTCACCACCCCCCTCACCCCACTCACCACCCCACTCACCCTCACCTCACCCTCACCACCCCACTCACCACCCCACTCACCTCACCCACTCACCACCCCCTCACCCCACTCACCACCGCACTCACCCTCACCCCACTCACCACCCCCACTCACCACCCCACTCACCACCCCACTCACCTCACCCACTCACCTCACCCACTCACCACCCCCTCACCACCCACTCACCCACTCACCTCACCCCACTCACCCTCACCTCACCCTCACCACCCCACTCACCACCCCACTCACCACCCCACTCACCTCACCCACTCACCACCCCCTCACCCCACTCACCACCCCACTCACCCTCACCCCACTCACCACCCCCACTCACCACCCCACTCACCTCACCCACTCACCTCACCCACTCACCACCCCCTCACCACCCACTCACCCACTCACCACCCCCTCACCACCCACTCACCCACTCACCTCACCCACTCACCACCCCATTCACCCTCACCTCACCCTCACCACCCCACTCACCTCACCCCACTCACCTCACCCCACTCACCTCACCCCACTCACCTCACCCCACTCACCACCCCACTCACCACCCCACTCACCACCCCACTCACCTCACCCACTCACCTCACCCACTCACCACCCCCTCACCACCCACTCACCCACTCACCTCACCCACTCACCACCCCCTCACCACCCACTCACCTCACCCACTCACCACCCCCTCACCACCCACTCACCCACTCACCTCACCCCACTCACCACCCCACTCACCTCACCCCACTCACCTCACCCCACTCACCTCACCCCACTCACCTCACCCCACTCACCACCCCACTCACCACCCCACTCACCACCCCACTCACCTCACCCACTCACCACCCCCTCACCACCCACTCACCCACTCACCACCCCCTCACCACCCACTCACCCACTCACCTCACCCCACTCACCACTCTCTCTCCTCTCCCCGTCTGCTTCCTCTCGGAGTCGCCGCTTCCGGTATCCTCTCAGCTGCGGGGTCAGGGACCGCGGCGAATTCATTCAACGCCACGAGCCCCCCCCAAGGTGCAGCACCAACAGCAATCACATCACACACATCACTCACAACAATTACAGCACTCACATCACTCACACTCACATCACTCACTCACATCACACACATCACTCACAACAATTACAGCACTCACATCACTCACTCGCACCCACATTACTCACATCACTCACATCACTCACAACAATTACAGCACTCACATCACTCACAACAATTACAGCACTCACATCACTCACTCTCACCCACATTACTCACATCACTCACTCACAACACTCACAACACACACACTCACCCACATTACTCACATCACTCACATCACTCACTCACTCTCACATCACCCACATCACTCACATCACTTACTCACTCACTCACATCACTCACTCTCACCCACATTACTCACTCTCACTCACATCACCCACAACACACTCACATCACTCACACTCACAACACACTCACATCACTCACTCACACTCACAACACACTCACTCACATCACTCACAACACACTCACTCACATCACTCACTCACATCACTCACAACACACTCACTCACATCACACACTCACATCACTCACTCACATCACTCACTCACATCACACACAACACATGATAAGAAGTTTTTGTGTTAGAGCTCGTAAATGTGTCGTTAAACCCGCCGCAGCCAATTATTAGTAAGCAATTAGTAAGGTTTGTAACGTAAACAAGACGTGACGATTCGTCACTAGTTGAGCACAGCGGTTGTGTGTTAGAGAGTAAACCCACTACAACATTATTTACAATTATAGTGTAGTGTATAGTGTAGTATATACTAGTTGAGCACACCGGTTGTGTGTTGGAGAGTAAACCCACTACAACATTATTTACAATTATAGTGTAGTGTATAATGTAGTGTACTAGTTGAGCACACCGGTTGTGTGTTGTAGAGTAAACCCACTACAACATTTACAATTATAGTGTAGTGTATAGTGTAGTATATACTAGTTGAGCACACCGGTTGTGTGTTAGAGAGTAAACCCACTACAACATTATTTACAATTATAGTGTAGTGTATAATGTAGTGTACTAGTTGAGCACCCCGGTTGTGTGTTGTAGAGTAAACCCACTACAACATTTACAATTATAGTGTAGTGTATAGTGTAGTATACTAGTTGAGCACAGCGGTTGTGTGTTAGAGAGTAAACCCACTACAACATTTACAATTATAGTGTAGTGTATAGTGTAGTATACTAGTTGAGCACACCGGTTGTGTGTTGAAGAGTAAACCCACTACAACATTTACAATTATAGTGTAGTGTATAGTGTAGTGTACTAGTTGAGCACAGCGGTTGTGTGTTAGAGAGTAAACCCACTACAACATTTACAATTATAGTGTAGTGTATAGTGTAGTATACTAGTTGAGCACACCGGTTGTGTGTTGAAGAGTAAACCCACTACAACATTTACAATTATAGTGTAGTGTATAGTGTAGTATACTAGTTGAGCACAGCGGTTGTGTGTTAGAGAGTAAACCCACTACAACATTTACAATTATAGTGTAGTGTATAGTGTAGTATACTAGTTGAGCACACCGGTTGTGTGTTGAAGAGTAAACCCACTACAACATTTACAATTATAGTGTAGTGTATAGTGTAGTGTACTAGTTGAGCACAGCGGTTGTGTGTTAGAGAGTAAACCCACTACAACATTTACAATTATAGTGTAGTGTATAATGTAGTGTACTAGTTGAGCACACCGGTTGTGTGTTGTAGAGTAAACCCACTACAACATTTACAATTATAGTGTAGTGTATAGTGTAGTGTACTAGTTGAGCACACCGGTTGTGTGTTGTAGAGTAAACCCACTACAACATTTACAATTATAGTGTAGTGTACAGTGTAGTATACTAGTTGAGCACACCGGTTGTGTGTTGTAGAGTAAACCCACTACAACATTTGCAATTATAGTGTAGTGTATAGTGTAGTGTACTAGTTGAGCACATCGGTTGTGTGTTGGAGAGTAAACCCACTACAACATTTACAATTATAGTGTAGTGTATAGTGTAGTATACTAGTTCAGCACACCGGTTGTGTTGGAGATTAAACCCACTACAACATTTACAATTAGAGTGCCGTGACATTTCGCCAGTAATTACAACCGGCATCATCAGGCGACGGCCAGAATTGTTGATAAATCCTATTTCGGTGAGATTTTATAATATCGGTAGCAAGTTCGGAGACACCATCCGTCAAGTGAATGAAATACATTTTTCATGTATTCGTTGGTTTGAGCGGAATACATTACAACACAGGTATAAATAGAGGGGATGTGTGTCAGACAATCACATGGCTGGCACCCCATACGGTTTACCCAGAATTGTTCTGCAGCGAAATTGAGATTTTTAGATCCACACGGCATAAAGCCGCTTCGATAGGGCAAAACAAATGTGTCTATTTGTTTGTGTTTGCCTTTGTAGGCAAACACAAACAAATAGACACAAATAGACACAGATTTCTAATGGGCGCGAGGTGATCAATAAGGTCTGAATTGGTCTCTAATAAGGTAGTTCAAGTTCATTTATTTAGGTATAGCCCTGTGAGCCATTCGGCTCTTGAATCGGGTGCAACCGTAACAAACAAAAAACATGAACAAGAAAACATCTTAAAGTGAATATGTGACTGAGTGCAAACAGAAAATACGAGAAAAGACAGCAAAATATTGCAGAAAAATCACCGTACACCAACGCTGTGTGCAAAAATCCCAGTGGGATGCAAGCCAAACAGCCAACAACAACCACAAGACAACTTAGATTAAGGCCATCAGTCTAACTATGTACTAAAACAAACAAACATGGTAGGGGGCACTGATAAGAGGTTTACAGGTATGCAATCAGGTCTGAAGGCCAGGGGGGGGAGATGGGGTGCGGGTTAATGTGTGCATACAAATGACAATAGATTTCCATTGTTCTCTTGTCAGCGAGAATCCTGAGACGAAACGCTTCTGATTGGCTGTTGGGGCCCAGTCGAGCGACGCCCCCGCCCTCCCTCCCCCCCGCGTTCCGCGCGCTGATTGGCGGAGACACTCGAGGTGATTCGCCCCGCAGCGGAGGAACACAGCGCGCGGAGCGATACACGGGCACGGCGCTTCACCGCCGCCGAGGGACTTTGCCGGCAGGTTTTTTTTTTGTAGCTTTCACGACACCTCGTTTTTTGAAATCCACTGTCGTTATTCTCCATCGTACACGCGAATTCAACTCATGTCAGCCACTCCCACTTTTCTTAATGGCTTTCTTTTGGTGATTTCAGAAACGTTTTTTTGGTTTGGCCATGTTTGTTGTAGTACGGAGTTAGACTGATGGCTTTAATCTAAGTTGTCTTGTGGTTGTTAGTTGTTGTTGTTTGACTTGCATCCCACTGGGAATTTTGCACACAGCGTTGGTGTACGCGGTGCTTTTTCTGGAAGTTTTTTTTCTGTTTTTTCCTGGATTTTTCTGTTTGAAGATGTTTTCTTGTTCATGTTTTTTGTTTGTTGCGGTTGCACCCGATTCAAGAGCCGAATGGCTCACAGGGCTACACCAAATAAATGAACTGAAAAACTGAAAAAGGCACCGTGGGAATTGTAATTTGCCGCATCACGTGATTCCGACGAGTCACGTGACGTCCACCACCCTCAGCACGTGGCCGCCACGTGCAGCGCGACGTCCAGGCGGGAATGGTCACGTGGTCCGGATGCGCCCCAGCTGGGGCAATAAATTAAGCATCAAGAATATTTATTTACGTGGGAAGAATACGATGAGCTATAAAGCTCTTGAACACAGACGTCCAGTACGGGGCGGGTCACAACGTTACAACAAACAATACACACACCACGATAGGAGTGCAAAGTCAGTTTAACACGTAGTAGTAGTCGTAGGCTTTCGCGACCAATATCCATAATACAGGTTTTTTGGGTTAGATCGCGTAAATATGAATGTGTCGCTAAACCCACCACCACTTCGTTACTAGTGTAGAGGATGTTCGGGACATCCTCACACACCAACACCACACTACCACGGGTTAAGGGTCACGGGAGCGCTGCCGTGCTACGCCACCCAATCCGATTATTGAGGGGAGGACACTGAACGGATTGGCCCCCAGGAGGATTAGCAGTAGAGGGGTAGGCGCGAGAAGAGAGTGTTAAAAAAATTAACCCGTAAAAACTAAGTTTTTCAATAAATCCTTTATATGCGTGGTGGCTAGAGTCCTCTCGTCCTCTGGCTTGAGATGGCTGCCACCTATGGGTCAGATGATTGTCTGCCAGCATTAAGCAATTGGTAATGAAATATTTAAAAAAAATTCCCTAAACAGTGTAAAATTTTGGAAAAAAATTTTCACGAAAATTAATTGTCACGCACAACGAGTCTGTGTGCAAAATGTCAGCTCGATTGGATCACGGGAAATGGGTTAAAAAACGACCGAAAGATTTGCACGGTCGTAAGCAAGCAAGTACGCAAGCAAGCAAGCAAACTTAATATAAAGGATTTAAAAAAGGGCGGGAGATGGGCTATATAGGAGAGGCGATTTGAAGGGTTCGGGGTTTGGGTTTTGATGAGTGGAAGTACGGTGTGAATTGCCTTGAGAATAAAGATCCTGCTTAAACCATCTCAAGTCTCCTAGTAACGAATTGGCATGTTCTGTTTACGTGACAAACCTTATTGGCTGTGTCGGGTGGTGGCGGGTTTAACGACACATTTATATTTACGTGATCTAACCCAAAACACCAGTATTATAGAGGATTGTCAAGGTAAACAAGAAACTTCAAAATAAATATCAAACACATTTTTTTTTATCTGACCTGGTAAAGCCCACTCAGATAGTAACTTATTTTTCAAAAGTGACCTGGCCACAAATGATAGCTCAACAAAGTGGCTAATCATTATTATAGCAGCAAAATAATCTCAATTCAATGAAGACCCCCCTCCCTACGATTTACTCCTTTCTTCGTATCTGTTGTTCTCCGGTCCGTCCAGCCCATGAGCCCCGTTGCAGTTACACCGCCTGCGTACTTGATAACTACGGCAATGGGATGCCTCTCATGGTTGCCGTAATAACAAATAAAGAACGTGTTAAAAATGTATCTGCATACGAGACTGCGGTGGGTGGGACGTGTGCCACATGGGAGATGATGGGTTTCGATTTAAAGCTTTTGTGAATGCAGGGATTCATATTCTTGGTTCTTTCGGTAAAGTCACGTAGAAAGGAAATAATACAATAATAAAAATAAAACATAATAAAATTCTCACGACGTTTTGGCCACAACGCAAGCAGCCCTCCTCAGATGATGGGTTTCCAAAACTGGCTGGCATTGGAATGGCATCCAGAGGTCAACGACCAATTTGAATACATAAAGGATGGTGCTGACGGGACTAAGATTGGACCTTGGTCACGTGTAGTGTGCAGTTAGCACTGGATCTCGCAAATCGAAGCTAATAGCTCAGTGGGCCTTACTTGGTTAGACAAAGCATTGTTTAGTTGTATTTGTATATATTTGTAAGTGATTTGTTCATCTTTCCTAGACTCTGCACTCCTATCGTGTTTTTTTGTATTTTAACATTCTGACCCGCCTCTACAGGACATCTGTGAAAAAGAGCTTCACGGCTCATCAGATTCTTCCAGTATAAATACAGATTCTGATTTTATAGGAAGCAATAGCAAGAGTGGCACCACATGGTCCACGTTGTTGTCAAGTGGCATTGCAGAGTTGCGATGTGGATGTGTTTCGATGTCGTGCTTGTGACAGTTGCGCTATATGACGTGCTTGTAAATATGGCTGTGTTTGTGGAGTAGCCCCAATGCAGCTTTAACGGGACCCACGCCGTCATGCTCAAATGCGTGAGGCTCCATCGACGTTGCGTCTCGTCGGCCGCCGCCTTCGCCCCGCTCCGCTCACGACACGACATGCGCCCGTCGGCTGGCGGCGCCACGCCGGGCAGGAACCCCACTCTCTGCAGCGACGCGGAGGTCAGTCTGATGTGTACACAGAATAACAAAGCATGTTCACACCATTCGGCCAGGTGATCAAATCACCCGCAATGCACCCGATCTCGTGAGATCTCAGACGCTAAGCAGGATGGAGGCTGGATGACTGTTTGTGATAGGTGACCACCACTTAGAGGGTTAGGGGCTCTGTGGTGGGCAGCAGATGGCAATGCCGAAACAACCCATTGTGATAGAGTCCAGTACTTTTGGCATGTCTGTGCTCCCTGCCTTTATCAAGCCGCACCACCATCATGGTGAGGTATGGTCACATAATACCACCTTCCCTCACTGATTAGCACGCCTGGCTATGGTGCGAAAGAAGTTCAACGTACCCATGTAAAGATTAGATGAACTCGTCTCGTTTCATTCTCTCATTTGTTTTGTTATTCTGTCTCTCTTTTGCTATTAACCTGAACGAAACAGCATAACGTTTGTATGATTCTCAGATGCATACGTGTATCATGAGTTTAAGAAATAGATTTCAGCCAATCAAATGATGTATTCCTACGTTATTACCCGCCTGTATTAGACGACATGATAGGTTTCGTACAAACTATTTCCCAGGTTTCCATCTCCCTTTGAGATTGGAAAAGACTGGTGCTCCCTCCCTCCCTGCCTCCCCCTCCACCACCGCGGCAGGAGCTGTTCCGGAGCGCCGTGTCGGCGGTGCTGCCGCTGGGCATGGTGCGGCGCAGCTTGCGCGTGGAGGGCGGCGACACGCTGAGCGCCGGCGGGCGCTGCTTCCCGCTGCGGCGCAACGTGACGGTGGTGGGCTTCGGCAAGGCGGCGCTGGGCATGGGTCGCGCTGCCGAGGAGCTGCTGGGCCGCCACGTGGTGCGGGGAGCGCTCAGCGTTCCCGTGGGGGCGCAGGAGAGCCTTCGCCAGGCCGGCAAAACGTACGCATGCACGCGCAGGCAGGTGTGTGTGTGGGGGGCACTATGAGCACTGGGGGTCGGCGAGTGCGAGGCGCTACGGTCAATCCCGGCGAACGGGCTTCCATTCCTGGCAGTTGTGAGCGTTATGTAAAAAGAAGAATAGGTTTTACCCTTTCTGGCGATAAAACAGCTGTTAAGATGTTCAAACACCAAATATAAACCTTTTTCAAGGAATAAACTGTCCAATAAGCACACGTGCTTGTGGTGAACACGCAAACAAAACACGCTCCGCTAATATATGTCTTCGAAACTGACTGGCCGACACCAGAGACAGCCTTTAGGGCCTAGTCTCACCCAGTGTCAGACCAGAGAACGCCAAACGGCATTGTTACAGCTTTTTAATGGTCCTGGCACTGCACCCTCCCCACCTTCATGAAATCAACTGAAGTTGAGTGCATAGTGTGGTGTGCTCAATATCAGCACTGGGGAGAGACAAAGGTGGCTGGGCATTATGGCATTGGTCACAACCGTTTGTTTAAGATATTTGTGGTTGCAGGATGGCCAGACATCTGCAACATTTTACCGCGCACCGTTCTCTGTTAAAACCAATGTGGCTCTACGTGCCAAAATTGGCTCGATATAATCGGCGAGTTGAGAGCAAACGCGTGGGATTTCTCACGTTGCAGAGAGATGCTTCTGCAGCCAGACACCAAGCTGAGGGTGTTCGAAGGGGCCCTCAATAACCTGCCCGACGAGGGGTCGCTCGAAGCTGCCCGCTACATCCAGCGGCTCGTGGAAGCCCTGAGACCGAGCGACCTACTCCTCGTTCTCATCTCAGGTGCCGCCCCCCCACCCCCCTCCTTGCACTTGAGTGATTGCCGTCTCGGTAGCGAGAGACCGCAATGGCACGACGAGGGGGGAATGGAGGGGCACGTTTCATCTGGCAAAGTGGATTCCTACGCTCGTGATATGCGCGTTGCAAAGCGTTTGGGAGAAATTGTTAATTTTAATTCACGCAATTACTGTATCTGCAATTTTTTTCCCCCGAGACTCATCGTCGGAGGTGTTAACTACCTCGCCTGCTAACAAAGAGGTCGTAAGTTTGATCCCGATGCCGGAGTTTGCATGTTCTCCTGGCGTTCCCTTGTATTTTTCTCCGGATCCTCCGGTTTTTCACTCATTTACAAACATGCGTTTAGAGTATTTTGGGCTGTTATAAACTTCCACACGATAAGCCACTTCATTGGACTATCATCTGTCGCCAGGTCGCTTCTGGCAAAAAATCTAGAAAGCTCAGTGGGCCTTACCTGGTGAAATAAAATAGTTTACATCTTGCGCACACGTCATCGCTCCATTTCCACACGATCCACCGACCCCCCCCCACACATTTGTGGACCATGGGCCTGTGCACCACCACCACCGTCACTTTGACTGTTGGTACCGTGCGCGGTTCCCATTGCATTTCGACCCCTCCACCAGAGGTCGCAACCGGGTACCCGATACCCGTACCCTACCCGATACCCGGCTACCCGTACCCAGCCGGGTACGGGTACGGGTACGGGTAGCCATTTACGACCCTGCTGCGGCCGGGTACGGGTAGGCCGTGAGTCACTGGTGAGTAACCGTTTGTCACTCATTTCGGGTAGGGTACGGGTAGGGAACGGGAACCCGTACCTGGCCGGGTACGGGTAAGGAATCAAAACCTGTTTGCGACCTCTGCCCTCCGCCCACCCCCTCCCACCGCCCCTCAGGGGGTGGCTCCGCGCTGCTGCCCGCGCCGGTGCCCCCCGTGAGTCTGCAGGAGAAGCAGGAGGTGACGCGGCTGCTGGCGACGCGGGGGGCGGCCATCGGCGAGCTCAACGCGGTGCGCCGCGGCCTCTCGCTGCTCAAGGGCGGCGGCCTTGCCCGCCTGGCGCGACCCGCACAGGTGACGGGAGGGCGGGCACGTGCACGTACGTATGCACGTTGAACTTCTATCGCATCGTACGTACCCAACCGCGCCGATCGGAGGTGCGGCACGCCACGTCCTGGACAAACGCGGGCGCTCTCGCGCAGACACTAACTTACGTTCACAACTCGCACACGAGTGCTCGCACCTACATATACACGCTTGCACACTCGTAGGCATACGCAGGAGCAGTCAGCCCGTCTGCTGGCTAGAGACTTCATCAGAGACCGGTCAGGGTAATGTCTAAAGGAATAACATCGGAACGGCAGCGTCGATGACAACTAAAACAAACCCACTTTTTGAAAGAGCTTTCGAATTTGCGAGATACTCGCATACAGGCAGCAAGTGGGTACCATCATGCAGAGGCACGAGCAGGGATGGCATGACGAGACGCCCGTGTGCGCTCCTCCAGGTCGTCACGTTGATCCTGTCGGACGTGGTGGGAGATCCCCTGGAAGCGATCGCGAGCGGCCCCACGGTGCGCAACCCCACGACCCCGTCGCACTGCCTGGACGTGCTCGGCCGCTACGAGCTGCTGGGCCGCGTTGCGCCCTCCGTGTTGCACCACCTCTCCCACCCGCCGTCGCCCCGCTCCAACGACGACGACGAGGACCTCTCGCACGTCCTCAACCTCGTCGTGGGCTCCAGCGGGCTGGCGCTCCAGGAGGCGTGCGCCCACGCCGCTCGGCTGGGCTACGAGCCGCTGGCGCTGTCCCGCTCGGTCACGGGGGACGTGGCGGACGCCGCCGAGTTCTACTCCCGGCTCATCGCGTACGCGTGCCGTCGCCTGCGCTCGCGCGGAGGCCCCACGGGCGGAGGGAATGCGGAGGACGAGGTGGACGAGGTTGAGGAGGCGGAGCGTCTAAAGGAGGCGGCGGCGAGGTGCGGCGTGCATGATCTGTCGACGGAGGCGCTGGCCGGCACGGTGGCGATCGCCGCGCGCCGCCGGGGAGGGCGCCTGTGCGTGGCATGCGGGGGGGAGACGACCGTGAGCGTCGGGGGCGATGGGCGGGGCGGGCGCAATCAGGAGCTGGCGCTGCACGTGGCTCGGCGGCTTGGGGGCTTGAGACAAACCCAGCCCATACAGGTACCAGACATACCGCCACCAGCCGAGCCAAGATAGCCAAGCAGACACTCGCCCCAACTCGTAATCCTAATCGCAGCAGCCAACCATGCACCGCACCTCTAACCCCAACAGGCATCAGGGTTTTGACTGCAGGAATTAATATTATTTGGTTCTTTCGGTAAAGTCACGTAGATAGAAAAAAATAAAATAAAGTGAATAAAAATACCATGGGCTACGCCCATCTCCAAACCTTTATAAACAGTTTGCCTTTCGAGGCTATAACCCCTTTTCCTGATGACTGCTTGTGTTGCGATCGAAACGTCGTGATATTTGTACTCACTTTATTTATATTTTTTCTATCTACGTGACTTTACCAAAAGAACCAAAAAATAGGCATCAGGGTCAGTGTTCAATTCCCAGAGGAATGGCAGCAATTATTATGATTATCCGAGTGTTGTCTTCCGGGTTCGGCTGAATGTTCAGCATTTCTTCTCTCTCTGCAGTCGTGTGTGGCGAGAGCTTGAGAGAAGAAATGATCGACACGCGGTCTAACCCGGAAAACCGCACTTGGATTACGAGCGGCTGTGAAACCTACACACGGCATCCATTTCCGGTTTCGGTGCAAGCATCGGTGTCTATGCAAGTCTTAGTGCGAGTCTACGGGTCTCTTCTGTGTGAGCCTATGAGTAACCGAGCTGAGCCGGTCTACTCATTGCGTGAAAAGCCACCCGCATGTTGCGCGTTTCCCCCCTGCACCCACCAGTCCCCACTCGGGCCCGTTGCCGCACCGAGCGGCGTCGGTGACGTCGGCAACGCCGTGGACGCGACGCGCGGCTGCTCCGCCGTGTTCCTGAGCGCCGGCACGGACGGCCAAGACGGCCCCACGCCGGCGGCCGGGGCGCTGGCGTGGCCCTCGCTCGTCGCCGAGGCGCGCGCGGCCGGGGCGGATGTGGAGGACGCCCTGCGGCGCAACGACTCGTTTGGGTTCTACTCGGCGCTGGGCGAGGGCCTCGTCGTCACGGGGCTCACGGGCACCAACGTCATGGACGTGCAGCTCGTGCTGGTGCAGCCGCGGCAGCCGTAGAGGCAACGGTGGCGGCGGGGGGCAGCACGGGCGGCGAAGGGACACGGGCAGTGAGGAGAGGGGACAGGCAGTCGTCGACAGATGGAATGTAGGGAGGGGAGCAGCGGGGACTGAAGTAGAAGTCTCGAGAGAAGTGTAACTTCGAGTTGTTGTAACGTTCTGAGCCCCGTGCCCCTACTGGACATCTGTGAAAAAGAGCTTCATAGTCGGCTTCCTCCAGTGTGAATAAAGATCCTGATTCTGAATAGAGAGAGGGGAGTAGAGAGAGAGAGAGAAGAGTACAGAGAGGACAAGTTGAGAGTAGTAGTCGTAGTAGAGTGAGAGACAGGGAGACCAGCAGTAAGGAAACGTCACGAGCAGTGGAGGTCAGAAAGAATAGCAACTGGGGTGAGGGGCAGGAGCGTGAAAGGGACACCAGCAGTAGAGGAAGGAACACGAGGAGCGGCGAGGCGGGCCGAGCGAGCGGGAGAAGGGGGGCCGTCACACCGGTGCTCGAGGAGGAGGAGGGGCGGCTTCGTCTGCGGCTTCATTTTTTGTTTGTAAATTGAATCTTGCTCGACTTTTATCTCTGTTCAAAATGAACACGAATCGTTACGATGAGGTGGTTGAGGGGTTCCTAACGACGGACCAGTACCGCCGCTAGGCCCCGATTAGGGCCCATGGATTGATTACACCGGGCTCTCAGTTTCAGGAGATGATCTCAGACTCGTCACAATGTGGCCGTAGCACTTTGATCTATAAAGATTTAGAATCATCCTTGCCGAGTATCAAATGAGAGATACAAAGTGAGTGTTTCATCAAGGTAAAATCTCGACTTAAAGCTTTCGTGACTGCAGGAATTCATATTGTTGGGTCTTTCGGTAAAGTCACGTAGGTAGGTTCAAAGAAAATAACAAAAAACTACGGCGTTTCGATCGCAACACAAGCGGTCGTGATCAGGAAGAAAAAAAAAGAACGCTTGTGTTGCGATCGAAACGTCGTAGTTTTTGTAATTTTTTTGTTATTTTTTTTTTACCTGGCTTTACCGAAAGATCCAAGAATATTTCAAGGTGTTTTTGCTTCACGCCTTGATGCCATCGTTGCTATCCGAATGTAATTTATGACAATAGAAAACGGTGGAATTAAAACAATTTTTCTCACTACTTTCTCAATGCTGAGGTTTGGTAACTTCATTGTCATGTTTTTCGTGAATGAGATTGTAAAAATTCGAGCATACATTGCCCACTTTCGAATCCAGGTAAGCCACCCGTGATGAAAGCAGCTACTCAAATGTAGCTCGGCCATCAATGATTGGTAAAAAAAGTGAAATTTGATTTTCACTTCATTATAAAAAAAAATTGCTGAATTTGGATAAAATTCCAGCTCTTGACAAATAAAAACATTGATTTGAGAACTATAAATACCTGTTTGACTGTACAGTAACCCTTAATATTAGCAGGGGATACACTTTCCCGGTGAATGTAGCGAATATAAAACCTGCGACTATTAATAATTATAATTAAAGTTTGAGTAAAATCGGGTTAGGGGTCATAAACACATCTATTACGTTTAAAAAACATTCACAGATACATTAATCAATACGTATATTGTTATAGTATTAATGTGTTATTTAACTATTGCCTTTAATAATGATGAACAGAAACGCATTTAAAAGTGCAAATAAAAAAAAGATTATACAATGCATTATCACAACTATATTGTAAGGGAAAGTGCTTGCGTGCAAATAGTGCGGCAGGCAAAGGCAGACCGAGAGGGAGAGCGTCCCGTGGGAAACTTTCACGCTCTCAACATCCACGCCGCTCCCACACCATCACGACTTCTTGTCGGGTCGGAGCGGTGCTACGGCCGCGAATATTTCAAACTCGCCTTTTGCCCGTCCAAGGACAGGTGCATTGCAGTAGATCTGAAACTTGCAAGCGAAAAGCAGAACGCGACGTGATATATTCATCGCATCCATTTGTGTGCAATTTGTAAGGGCGCGGTGACACAGACCTATTTCATTTAAAGGTTATCATCCCTTGTTCATCATGACCTCCTTTTTACTTTGATGTCTCAACAGCGTTACGGAGATCGCGTGACGTCAGGGTTCTGCCTTTGTCGTGAGGGTTGTAAGTTGAGGAGGGGGGAGGAGGCGCCTCGCCCCCCCCCCTCCATGTGGAGTGACGTCACCCACTAATTATTATTAATGGAGGGGGGGTGTCCATTTGGAGGACGTCACCTGCTCATGATTATTAACGAGGGGGCTGTTTGATGTGGAGTGACGTCACCTGCTCATGATAATTAACGAGGGTGGGGGTTCTACCTGCGGAATGACGTCACCCGCTCATGATTATTAATGAGGGGGGTCCATGTGGAGGACGTAACCTGTTCATGATTACTAATGAGGGGGGCTGATCGGCGTGGAGTGATGTCACGCGCGGGACACACAGATTCTTGGCTCATTACAGTAGCGAATAGCTCTAATCCAGATGGAGATTCATCTTCTTGTTTCTTTCGGTAAAGTCACGTAGAAGGGAAGTAATAAAATAATAAAAATAAAACATAATAAAACAATTCTCACGACGTTTCGGCTACAACGCAAGCAGCCGTCTTCAGGTGAAGAATGAGACACTACCAAACTAGGAGCTTATATATAAGCTGCATTGGGGGTTGAAGAGCGCCTTAACAAAAAGAATGTGCATGTGAAGAGGGATTTAGCATATTCATGGAAAATGCGTAGGCGTTGGGCGGGGGGGTGTCAAAGTCATATTATGCCCATGCATTATGCAGGATCAGCAGCAACCAAGGGGGGTGCAGGGATTAGCAGTAACAAAGGAAAGGAATGTTAATGATATGTAGCTGCAGTTACTCAACAACCACGTAGAAAACTAAAGTATAAACTACATAAAAAACTAAAGTATAAACTGCATCGCACCATCAGTATACTTACTATACTCTATAATAAGCTGAGTTACTAACAGCAAGTAATACATTACAATTTTACCTCGTAAAAATTCTATAATATGCTTCCATCTAAACCTTATTCTCTTACATCACACGAGCATATACCGTACTATATACTGCCATAGATAAACCCAACATTAAATTATATACTGTATTGCTGTAAACCAACCTATATCTTATACATTTAATATCACACTATGTATTATTCTACACACCCTAATGTGTATCGAAATGGTTTATTACGTCCTTCCAATGATTGCTGAGCCAGAATCCATCTTCTCGGTTAAAGTTGTCTCTGTGTTTGTATATGTGGATCGCCTCATGAACGAATCTCTCATGATAGCCAGATGGCTTGCAGAGAACCTCTGTCTTGGAGAAGTCAATATCATGTGAGCCCACTGAGTTGTAACAGTGATCTGCCACGGCTGAGGTGTTAGTCCTACCGTGTTTCAGGTCAGCTTTATGTTCACGGATGCGGTCCGAGACATGTCGTTTGGTTTCCCCAATGTAACTGCTACCACAGAGGCAACTTAGTTTGTAGACGCCAGGGTACTGTATGTCTGGAACCACATCTTTTACAGACGGTACCAGATCACGGATTTTATGTACTGTGTTGAATCGGACCTGGATCTTGTGTTTAATCAGGATTTTGGAGATCTTTTTTGTGACCCCAGCAATGTAGGGTAAGGTGATGGTCTTGAAAGGCTCCTCAACAGGATCCTTCTTGATGGTTGGAGTGATGGCTTTGCGGATTGTATAGTCGGAGTAACCATTTGCCTTAAGAGCTTGGCGTACGTGTTTGAGTTCACTGGAAATGTGTTCATGGTCGGAGATGCATTGGGCTCTATGATATAGAGTCTTGATGAGGGAATTCTTCTGAGATGGATGGTGGTGGGAATCCGGTTTTAGATAAGCATCCGTGTGGGTGGCTTTCCTGTAGACAGAGTGGCTCATTGAACCATCAAGTCTCCTTTTGATTAGGACATCCAAAAAGGGTAGCTTGCCATCATTTTCGACTTCCATGGTGAATCTGATGGCTGGGTGTATGGAATTGATGTGGTCGAGAAATTGGTCTAGAGCAGGCCGGCCATGTGGCCAGATGACAAAAGTGTCGTCTACGTACCTCTTCCATAAGGCGCTCTTCAACCCCCAATGCAGCTTATATATAAGCTCCTAGTTTGGTAGTGTCTCATTCTTCACCTGAAGACGGCTGCTTGCGTTGTAGCCGAAACGTCGTGAGAATTGTTTTATTATGTTTTATTTTTATTATTTTATTACTTCCCTTCTACGTGACTTTACCGAAAGAAACAAGAAGATGAATCCCTGCAGTCACGAAAGCTTTAAATCGAAATTTAACCAGATGGAGATGTCTGGGTGGGCAGGTGGTGCCCCCTAGTGTGTGCGGATAAGAGGTCATTTGAGATTTCGGAAGCAATTCTGTGGCCTATTTCACTCCTAAAATTATTTGTTTTTACCAGGTAAGGTCCACTTAGCTCTGCAGCTGTTTTTCAAAAGCTACCTGGCCACAAATGACAACTCAACGAAGTGGCTTATCAAGTCGAAATTTGTAGCAGCCAAATGCTCTGAACGCACATTGTTTCTAAATGTGGGGTGAAAAATCGGAGGGCCCGGAGAAAATCCACTCGCAAACTCCAAATATACAACAGGCGTCAGGTTTGGGATCAAACCCACGACCTTCCACATTCCAGGCGAAGCAATTAACATCTCACCACCATTCTCAAACCCGAGGGTGATGCATTGCGCTGCACAAGTTCCGATTGGATTCCTCGACTTGCGACGGTTGGCGCAGTCAGGACAACATTGGGGGAGGAGAAAAAAGCAAAAAACAAAATGCTGAAATGCTAAAAACTAAAATGATCCAAAACCACCCAGGAGGACGTGGCCCCTTGCAGCAAGGGCAAGCCTCTATTTAATAAGTTTGTCACAACGAAGGTTAGGACGACAAAACACGCATTGCCAACTTTTGGCAGAGAGATTCCCACAGAGAATAAATGTGAAATGTTGCGAGCAACAGCAGAGAAGAGTGTGTGAAGGTCATCGCACGCACGCACAAGTCCAACAGCAATGATGCTTTCCGATTACAAAAGAACCTGTCCGCATTGCAATTACAAATCTAAACGGCAAGCCACTACCTACCCAGTTTCACTGGAAGATACAACACAGTGCAAGGTAACCTTTCAGACAACATGTAAACCACTCAAAACGCTACTTGCTAATACCATGAACGGCGCTCCGAGGGGGGATTCCCACGTGGGTATGCTCATGTTGATTAAAATAATAATCATGTAATCAATTTCACGCACCTCCTGTGGGTTACTTTTTGTAACTGTGCAACTTTTCAGGCACAGACGATCCTTAAAATGGCATGGGCGTCTGGCAAGGCAGCTCAACTTCGATGTGATGAGAACAAATGGATGGACCGTAAACCAAGACACAGTGCCGCTACTGCTGCTGCCCTTTAATGCGAGTTTGTGTTGCATTTGCGATGCTTAGTCTAGTCAAACGGTGTTCCTGAAGGGCTCGACCCCAAGCCTCGCACGAGGACGGTTTTGTTATCGCTCTGTACATGTTACAAGATTAAAACTCGCATGCCATCAAAACTCGAGACATGGTATTCTTCATAAAGGCCGTCGGCAACGCATTTAACCGCCTCCGGGTTTTCGGCGAAGTACATTTTAATACTTTTCGTTTCGAGGCATAAAAGCAACCACCTCAAATTCTCATTGGCTGTTCCATTGGCAGTTACACCAACCAGTGAATGTGGCTGACGGGATGCAGGATAATTAGACTTGCTCAGAGCAAAACTGCATTATGACCGAAACGTTTTTGGATCGCTGCTGTAACGTAAAATACATGATTCAAGCCTACAGGTGTCTTGTGGTCTACAGCAATTAACCAACCCAGGGTCTCCCTTAAAAAAATACTTCAGCTCTCAATGCTCTTACCCAGTCATTAATAAAGGTGATCTAGTGGTCATTGCTCTGAACACGGAACCATTGAGCTGTGTTGTTCAACACGCCGTGCCGTAGGGTGGTTCCAATCGACTGCGATCACGGTTGCTGTTCTGCAATTCCCCGCTCGTGCAGTTTGACGAGATGACTTCCAAAACCAAGCAACGGGGTGGTTTGCAGGGCATGAACAAGCACAGCGGGGAGAGAGCTTCAAAAGCAGTGGCTGG